CTACAAACCTTTATAACATAAAAAAGCAAAAACAGCCTTAGATTTCAAGTACTTAAAGCTCTTCTGTAAAATGGGGGTGGGGGGGAGCAGCAGTCTATCAATATTTAAATGTTTTGTTAAGTCCATATTGACAAATCAATATGAAATATTTGAATACTGTTAATTTTAACAGTACCTCTATAAATACAGCAAACTTATATGCATTATTTCAATGACTATTTTTCTTACTAAGAAGAGAAATTTTTGATGTGTAATTGTTAAAAATTTATGTATAAATTTGTCCAGTATCACAATTAGACAGTAAAATCATTAATTTTTTAATTACAAAAACCAATAAATACATAAAACAATCATTGTAGGAATTAGGCATTAAATGGAAACCAAAATTTCCACCTAAATAAATTACTCTTTAGGCTGAGGAAAGAGGATCAGATTTGGCAGCTTATATTGGATACACAGTACTTCTCTGAAAAAGGAAGATTTTTTGGTTGAATTTTTCATTAAAAAAAAAAGAAATGCACACAGGCGCACCGTCCCCAACATCCCCAACATCGGTGTGCTTTGGCCGGGATGGGTCACCTCCAGTGAGTTCACCGAGCGGGTAATGCTGGCACCCGCCGGGGCTTCTGGAGACCTATTTTTTTTTCCCAAATCCGCCCACTTTCTTGCTACCAGTTTGCTACAGAGACATCCAACACCGGCTGCATTGGTGAGTTTCCTTTTGGTCAGCACATATTCTTTAGGTAAGGGTCCAAATTGGCCGATTAACGGCACGTTAAATCCCAGTATTTTACGGGATCTTCTTAACCACTGTCAGCCAACTGGTAAAGGAGGTATCCAGGCTTTCTTTCTCCTTCGCTCTAAAACTCCTCTCTGTTCCTCCTGTTCTCCTACTAAACTCCTTCTAACCGTAAACCTCAATCTAAGGAGCTCTGCCTTTGACCCAGCGGATAAAGTTCCACCCCACCACCGCCGCCTCACTCCTCCTGCCTCCTGCCCGGGGGCCTGCCGCCCACCATGCCCGGCTCGGCCACCAGCCTGGGTCTTCGCCAAGGTGATCCTTGGGCGCATCTTGGCTTTGAAAAGAAATGGGCGGGACCTTGGTTTCATCAGAGGCTTCCACGTGGCCGGGGCCATCTTTAACACCCTGACCACCTCGAATTACCTGCGCATGCCCTGGGTCACCCTATAAGAGAACTGGAGCCCTTCCCCCCCCCCCTCTTCCTTACTCTCTTACTCTCTTCTCTTTCTCTCCTCCTCTCTCTCTCTGCAACCTCCCTTCCCCTAATAAACCTCCCACGTGGAACCGAAAGAAAAAGAAAGAAAGGAATGTGTATAGGAACATGTGAGCACTCTATAGGGCTGAACAACTTAGAGAGCCCAGGGGTGTTCAATTTTGGCCCACGTTAGACATTCTCAGGGAGCTCTGAAAACATACAGGCGTTTTCAGCCTTCTCTTCTGGAAACATGACTTAACTGGCCTCAATTCTGTGTGGCACACCATTCTTCAAAGCTCTTCCAGGAGCCTCGTATGCAGGCAGGACTAAGAATCACAGGTATGTACCAACTACAAATAGTTATAACAATTTTAAATAGTTACAATTACCATGAAACAATGCTTCCAGAATATTAAAAACACACAGAAAGGTATGTATCAATAATAAAAGTGTACTTTTTTGTAATATTCATTCATAGGTTTCACAAATGTGTATTGAGACGTGCGTGTCACAGCTCTTGCCCAAGACATTTAAAGTCTAACAGAAAGACATTAGAAAACAGAAATGATAATAAAGCACAGGAAACTGCAGTTAAAATGTCACCAGAGGATTTAAATGATATATTCTGAGATTTAGTAGTTAGAAAGCAAAGTTTATACAGAAATTTTTCACATCAATAGCTCTGAAATGAGAAAAAAATAAACGTATTTTCTATCACTGACTAGAAAAAAAATGTTAACAATATACAATACTTCATTTCTTTTTTTTAAGTATTTTTTTATGACTATTGCAAGTTTGAAATTAAAAAAAAAACCTCCTTAAAATGCAATACAAAGATCACAGGCAAATGTAAAAACTAGACTAGTGTCTATAAAAATAAGAGGACTATCAACAGCTTAAACCAAAGTATCTTTGGTTGGGCTACTAAGAAAGAGATTAGGGGCTTTTCTAAGACATGTCCTATAAAAAATGAGTAAAATATGACCTGAGGCACGCGAGGGCAGGAAGCAGGTAAAATCTGAATAGAAAGCTCTTATATTTAAAAAGAGCACAGTTTATACCAACAATGCTTACAGTAAAAATAAACCTGAAGTATACATTTCCCCCAGTTGATTAGATAAAAACATGAAGAATCCAAAATTAATTGCATTTTCAAAAAAACTGAAATGGCATTAAAAATACCATGAAGCTTTACAAGATAGCACTGATATTTAACAATCTTACAGTAAAAAGAAGGTAAACCCATCCAGTAGAGTTGCCAGAATTTTAAAATACAAAGTAAAATTTCTTAACTACCAAAACTCAGTCTCAAATTACTTCAAGTATGAATCAAGATTAGAAAGATATTCTTTCAGAGTTTTTATTTTTTTTAAATTAGCTTAAATTCTTTTATTTTTTTAATTAAATGAGTGTCCGAAGTATAAATTAAACTCAAATTCTGATATCAAACTTTCATACAATTGTAACCACAATAGAACTGACAGTTGATAGGCAGCTTTACGTAAGGAATGTTAATGAGTATCTTTACAAGCATAGGCTCTACAGAAAATAAACACAGACATCTGCACAAACCCAGATAAGAGCAACATCCGAGTGAGGGCAAGGGCTAGAAAGACTGACTGCCCACATCACTCACTGTAGCTCACTGCTCAGTAAGACAACAAGTAAAGCAAGTAAGTGTAAGCTTTGTGAGCTCAGGATTAAGGACAAGCTTGGAACACTTAGGTTCTGTAGTGCAAGAAATCATACATCATTGATAATAAACATTCAACTCTAGTCTTAGAATGTCTCCAGACACCTTTAGAGAACTACAGTCTTCATCAATATTATCGATCATAAATATATGAATCAAATAAAATAAAACTGTATGACCTTCAGGGTAAAAACTGTAACTGGTTTAGAATTTGAATTCAGAGAGCAAGTGTTCAATCTTTAATTCTATTTCTCAATTCTGTGCTAGCCAGAGGAAATTGGTGCCAATACTTATAAAAATTCATGACTTGATATCAAGTGATAAGCAAAGAGTGAAAGACAGAGTTTCTGTCATTTAAGTGTACGTTTGTAAAGCAATGATAAAATCAACAACACATTAAAAAATGTATCCCACAGACTCAAAATGAAAAAGATTTTAAAATTCAGAGGTGAAAAATTAGAAATCATTTGGTCACTTGGAGCTCCATGTTGGGAAACCCACATTAAACATCGACATTTTGAACTATTCAAATTTTATACATAAAATTTTAATTTTAAGGAGAGGATTTTCAACAATAGCTTTCAATAGCTTTCCAAAAAGCTTTGTACTTAGTCTGTAACCTTCTCAACAGCCACCAGAATCTAGATTATGTGATTAGAGTTAAGACTCTACTGCAATCTATAACTATCAACACAAGCATGTGCTTAGGCTCTCCCCTGACAAAATACACAGTGGGAACTGTTTAGAGCGGAGACCATCTCTGCTGTGTTTATAACTCAAAAATCTTGTACTCAGCCTGACACTAAGTGCTCCCTGCCATTTCTTCAATGAATGAATGAAACAATGACTTAATTCAATTTGGTGCAAGTTAAAAAACATTTTCTAAACATTCCAAATACATAATGTTACTTAATGAGAACTTATAATTCAATTTAAATGAACTTACTTTGACTCTAACTCTCTAGAATATATTACACTCTATAAGCTACAGAGCACATCTGTAAGACTGCCCTTCTTGCAAGTTCTGAACGACTCTGCCAGGAGACAAGAACTCCTACAAGAACACCAAAACACGCTTAGTGGCTGCAACTGGTCTATAAATAACTCTTTCACATAAAACATCCACAACTACGTTAATCTCAAAAGTATTTTGGTATAATTTCAAAGTCAAACTAGCTTTGTTTGTATTTGTTAGTGGTACTGAAGAGAACACGCACAGGCTAAGCAAATGCTCTAACCATGAACAAACACCTACAGCCACCACCACCCCTTCTGTGTGTGTGCTCTGTCTATGAGTACGTGTGTGCGCTTTGCACACACAAGTCAAGCAAGGGTGTCATTCCTTAGCACCATCTGCTTTGTTTTTTGAGACAATCGCTCACTAGTCTGCAACTTGCTAAGTGGGCTAGGCTCACTGATCAACGACACCCAGATTTACCATGACCAATTTTTTTAAAGTGTGTGTTCTGAAGATCTAATTTGGGTCCTCCTCGTAGCTTGCCAAGAACTTCTCCAACTGAGTTGTCTCTCCAGCCCTATTTTTGTTTTGTTTTGTTCTGAAAGATATTCTCGAAGTTAGGAGTCGGGAAAAACAGAGTTTTTTTTCCCAATCACTATTTGGAATTCTCTTTAGTTCGAAACAAAAACTGAAAATTAAAAATGTTTTTCAATCTATAAACTCTATTAGGATTTTTGTATTTATTTGTGTGTGTGCATGTGCTTATATATCCACGGCAGCTTGAAGGCAAGCACCTTTACCCACTGAGCCATCTCATAAGCCTATAAAAGTGATCCTAAATTAATTTAAAGCATTCTGGGATTCACATCTCCAACTTGAACACAAAGTTATTTGAGCATTTCCAAAGTGCTATTTTCAAAATTGCAATTGGTCTTGTATTTATTTCTCTATTGAAATATCTCCATTAATATTAGTTTTTAGTTGTCTTGTTAAATAACATTACTAAGCAAATCAATCTGAAAGAAAAATACATATTCCACTTTGAATACATCTATACTTTAACACTGCATATAAATATTTATCCTTGAAACGTCTCAGACAGAACTCCTAATGGTTTACTTAACACACATACCGGAAGCTGTGAATGCCTTGAAGCTCCTGCTGCAGAACTTCTTGGGTTGTAGCTATTAAGTCCAATGCGCCCACAAATTCAGAAGTAGACAGTAACACCTGCACTGTAGGCTGAGTTTGGTGGACAGTGGCCATTAACTTCAGTTTATTGTACACTTTAACACAATTATTTCTGGTAAGTGCCAGTCTTAAAATCTGTAGTGATCCTTCACACATAACTTTATCAATCTGTGCAATTTTGTCTCGAAGCATTTTTACAGCCTGCGAAGTTTTCTTGAGGTAGTCCTGCAATTCGTGTTGAGAGGTCATTGCATGAAAAAATGCTTCTGAACGTAGCGAGATCTGGTGAGCAATGTTTACTTCCACAATATCCAGATAATGGCTCAGCTTCATGGGGAAGAAAAAAAAATTAGGTATGTCTTAAGTATATCATTCTTAACTATCCAATTCTTTCTAAAAATGCCAAAAAGATTTCTACAAGTACTAAATTAAATTGTTGGATTAGAGGATCCTTGGAATTGGGTGCACAAAATGGGAGTAAAAAAGTATAGCCTGAAGACAGATAAATTTAAGATCAAAGAACAGAGGTATACTTACCTGTTTCTTCTCCTGGCGTTACTACCCTTTAAATATTACCCCTTTCCCAAAAGGTCACAGATTCTGATAACTCTGTCAGATATTAACAGCAGTTTGAGATCTAAGAGTTCAGAGGAGACTATCTCCTCGGTCAACACCTTTATCTAAGCACGTGGCTATAGTTCACCCTGAGCTTTTCTCTTCCGTGCACTATCAACATCTACTTCACATGCATGGATGTTTTCTAATTGTAACAAACTCTGACTGTAATTGCCATTCTCATTTTATAAATGAGAAAACGCAAAAGCATTAACTAATTTGAATAAAGTCAGATGGTCAAGCAAGGGGCAAAACTAAAATATAAAACCAAGTCTGTCACTCACCACTACGTATTATACTGTGCTGTCTCAAAATGACAGTAGACAAATTGTTGGGTCAGCCACATATTACATACAATACAATTCATTTTGATGTTTTTTAACAAGGCTGCTTATTTTATATTTTAAAAATTATTCTTTTATCCATTTGTGATTTTTACTACAATGTTTTATACTCTTAAAGAATAATAAATGCTTTAACTAATCAGTTCATGCATATTATAACAATACTAAGGTTAATTCTTACTATTGTATATTCAATATGTTTTCTAAATTTCAGATCTGGAACCCTGAACTGTATTGCCCGTCACTCTGAGGACAATAGTATCTACTGAACCACAGGGCCACTTCTTCCTGTCTTCCATCTAAGACTTAAATGATTAGAAGGCATTATTTTCAATAATGGCCATTTATTTAATAATCTTTTAATACACCCAACAGGTTAGAAATTAAGAAAGTTTTGTAATTTATTTTTCTTGCACTCATACCCTTGTTTTTCTCATCTTACTGCTTTTCACTTACTGAAAAGGTAACATGACTACAAACATAGCAAACAGATTATATTGTCCAATCGACTCAAATCTCAGAATGGCAAATGATGAGTGGACAAACTGTACTTATGCCTTATATGCTGTTATTAGTCTCTGGACTGTTTTAACAGGCCTGTGGTCTTAAAGATACACTACAACAAAAAGAAACTTTGCCAAAAAGTGGTATCAACTTTGTTACTAAGCACAATGCATTTCTCCCTACCCTGCAGGGCTGAAGATGAACCCAGAACCTCATATGCGTGAGGTTCACTTTGCTACCAAGTTAGATACCAGCCCTCATTTGTTTTTTTAAAAAAGAAAAGTTTTAAAACAAAAAAACAGATATTGTATTTTGTGGGGGAGTGGTGCACATGTCACAGCCTAAATGTAGACATCAGAGGAAAACTTGCTGAAGTCATTTCTCTCCTTCTGTCATGTGAGTCTAAGGGCTCCAGTACAAGTGGTCAGCCTGGGCCCACTGGGTCATCTCACCCAAGAAAAACTTTCTTAATGAAGACACAGTGTAATAATGTGCTCTGCAATGCGAGTTTACCACATCGCCCGCCAGCACTTCGGGTCACACAGAGCAGAAAACAAATCCTGATACAATACTGCTTAAACCTAGCAGGAGAAGCTCACTCCCCCACCACTTCAGGAGTTTGAGGGTTATCTTCTAAGTCTCTTCTTCCTTTTCTAACAAAGCAGAGGAAAAAGGAGTCAGAATGTAAATGCAAGAAGCCTGACTCTGTGCCTTATAAATTTTTTATTTTCCATTACTTTAGTTATTTTAAATATTCAAGATGAGAAAGAAATTTCCTTTGATTTTAGAGATTTTTTTTGGAACTCATAAATATTCCATTGATCCACTCTTCAAAAGCATAATGTTTTACTAATTTATTTCCTATTAAGCTGATACAAAGGCAAAAATTTTTAAAGTACTCCTAAAAGTCTATGTATAATTAATGACATTGGCAGGATGTTTTTCTTTTCTTTCCTTTTTTTTTTTTTAAGGTATTATTCTACCAGAACCTAAACCTCTAAATGTAAAAGTGCACGAATAAGGCAGCATGTATCATAAGCCACTGTTTTTTTTTTTTTTTTTTTTTTAGTCAGTTATAAAAATATTCCTGCTCAAGAAAATCTTTTCCAAGGAAAAATAACTAGCTCATTTTCATTTACATTTATGAGAAAAGAAATACACATGATTCCTCCCCTCACGTCTCTTCCTCTTGCTCCCTAGTCTATTCTTTAATTCCTATAGAAAACTGGATCCAATATATTGAACAGTTTTCTTGAGATAAAGTTTCAGTAGCCCAGCAATGTCACTAGAGTAAAATAAAATGTCCTTAAGAATGAGTCAGTTTCAGAGGCTCTAGGCCAAGTGCTAAGAAAAAACAGAGATTAAAGACTTTACTGTCATTTAAGTTTTAGATTTTTGATACCTAGAGTTCTAAATTAGAAACAACTTTCAAGATGTTTACTCTTAGACATAGTAACACAGTAAAATGTAAAGACTGTTGACTGACAAAATGCAAAAACTAGACTTTATAAGGCAAAAATATAGTATAGTAGAAATATATATATGTATATATTTATAATTTTTTTTTTTTTTTTTTTTTACTTTTGGTTTTTTGAGACAAGGATTCTCCATATAGCCTTAGCTGTCCTGAAACTAGCTCTGTAGACCAGTCTGGCCTTAATCTCAAAGAGATCCCCCTACCTCTGCCTCCCAACTAGGATTAAAGGCATGTGCTACCACTTCCCAGCAGAATATTATAAATATTATAAATATTATAGTTTAACTATAACATTTTTTATTCAAAATAATGACCTTCAACATGAAAATGAAGTAGCAGTATTTCTGAAAGTTGGCTCACTGTGCTTTTAAGCCATTATCACAGTCTGCTGATCTATAACTGACATATCTGGGACAAATGCACAGCCATCTGTTAACCACTGTACTCCCCCACCACAATTCGAGAAAGGGCCAGTAAGACGGCAAAATCACTGCCACCTGAGCCTCAGGCCGGAGTTACATGCCCAGAAGCTACATAAGGAAGAGAGGACCGACTCCACAAAGTTGTCCTCTGACCTCTCAACTTACACAGTGCTATGTACCAATCCTACCACACACACCTCACACAAACATATGTAATAAGGTTTTTATTAAGTAAAATTCCACCAATTTCTATTATAGATAAGCAGCACTCATTATCTTTTTTCTTTTTCACAATGATACCTTTATTCCACCGAGTTAAGATGCTACTTACTAATCTATCAGTTAAGATTAAATTTATTATAACTGTGATTGGTAACAAAAATGAACACGGTGGGTTGAGGATGTGGTCAGCGGTAGAGTATTTGATCTATCATGAAGCCCTAGTTTCAAATCCAACACCAAGGAACAGAGAACAAAAGAGAACGGGAAAGGGAACAGGAAAGAGAAAGACAAGAGAAAGAGGGGGGATGACATTAATGGAAAGAAAGAGAGAGGAAGGAGAGAACTTTTTAAAAGTAGAGCGTAATAAGCAAATCTGAACTGTCAAAACCAGCACCATTTAACAAGAATAAAATTTGCTGTATGGAAAAAGTCAGCAGGAAATTAAATTACCTTTTCTTGAAGCAACTTGGAAGAAGCTGCATCTCGATTTCCTTTTCCACCAGCAGTATTAAAATGAGACCACGGTAAAACTGAATTAAAAGTTAAGGAATCATCCAAGGCAAAATCTGGTTTCATAAAAATCTATCAAAAGAATGTATGACCCCAATTAGTTAAATATCTTCTCTATATCCATTAGCTCTTATAACACTATAAGACCATTTAATAAAATTAACTTGGATATTGAACATGAAAGACAAAAGAAAAATCTCAATTACAAAAACTATTTCTCACCAACTAAAATGCTCATAAAAGATAAAAAAACAGAGCTGGAGAAATGGCTCAGGAGTTAAGAGCACTTGTTGCTCCTGCAGAGGAGCTGGGTCTGGCTCAGTGCCCACAGAAGGTAACAACCGTCTGAGCGGGGACGTGGCACGTGCCTTTGAGGCAGAGGCAGCCATAGCTCTGTGACCTCGAGAACAGCCTGGTTACAGAGTGAGTTCTACGACAGCCAGGGCTACACAGGGAAACCCTGTCTCAAAAAAAAACCAACAAGGGAAACACACACACACACACACACACACACACACACGTTAGTCCAGTTCCAAGGGATCAGATACCATCAGTTTCAGACACCAGGTGCACTTACATGATGCAAGAAAAGCACACAAACACATGAAGTTAAATAAGCCTAAAACACAACAAAACAAACAGCTAGAAAGCTATAGCTGAAGTGGTATGCATGCTTGTGACTCCAACACTCAAGACAATGAGGTAGGAGGACTGCCACAAGTCTGGGGTCAGCAGTGAGTTTAAGGGCAGCCTGGGCTCCTATCTAAAAAGTAAATAAATAAAAACCGAATTAAAGACAGGAAAATGCTTTTGCCACTACTAGTATGGGTTGCTATAAACCCGCATCAATGAATTTGACCAAATGTCCTACCCAGCCCACAACATAGAGATACCATGTTCATCCTAATTTTCTATTTTCCACTGGCAGTGTAAAAAAAAAAAAAAGTCAAATATCAGTTTCCCTAACTTTGAATAAACAAACTTAAAATCTGAAACACAACTATCCACATCTTTCCAGGTAAGCAATGAAACACATCACCCAATTTCCTAAGTAGTTCACGTGTCTTCTCTCGTCACCTTCTCTGCACTACGCGACTTAACTGATTTATCTCTGCCTCGCAGTAATTACTTCCTGATACCCCTCCCTAAAACAAGAGACACTCCGTTATTGTGTCAGAGGTACCAATCTCTCTTCAGCACTCTCAGGAGATTCCCACTCACCAACTACAGAGCAAATCTATAATCTCTAAGGCATCCAAATGTCCCCATCTACCGGGAGGTGGGGAGGCGCTCACCTCTCCATCCTCATCACCCCCGCCTCACTATCATGCATGACTCGCTAGCAGTGTAAGCCATCTCCCATACTTTCTTAGACTTAACTCTCCAACTCTCTTGATACATCTACAATGTCTTTTCTTACTTATCTCCTGGAAAACATGACCCAATCAAAAGAGTGAACATGTCTCTCTGTACGATTCAGATATAACCATTCCACCTATGAAGACAAGTTTACTGTGTCCAAGTAATTATATATCTCAGACTTCAAAATTATTTAATATGCATCTCTGAAGACCACATGCTTTTAAAGTTTGATAAACCTAACTGATCAATCACTAGTTCTAGTATCTAACAAAGGGCTGAAAACATATGTTAACTTATTAATATTTGGAATTTATCAATTATTACATCTATGTGAAAAAAAACTAGAATAAAAGTGATATAAAAAAATAATTAGGGGCAGGAATAAGTTTTCTAACCCATGCTTTACTATTACAATCAAAAGTTATTCAATAAATATCTATTATCTGTCCCTTGCTAGGTTTTTAAGGGGAAACAGTGGTAAATTACTACCCAGATCCTAATCTCAAAGATTATCAATCCAAGGACTATGATAGAGTACAAATATGTAGTCGATGCTATGTTTTCCTGGGTTCCACATCAGTTAATGCAACCAACTGAGAACTGAAATTCATTTAAAAAAAAAAAAAAAGCTATTTCTGTATTAAACATGCACAGGCTTCTTTTTCTTATCAATACCCTAAACAATATAATACAACAGCTATGTATTTACAAACTATTAGGTATTGTAAGTACTCTAGACATGGGTACTTCAAACACACAGGCACACATGTGCATATTTCATGCAATATATAAGGGACTGGGCACGGACACATTTTGGTATTGGGGGAGAAAGTGTCCCTGAAACCTATTTCTTGTGGATGCCAAAAAACAATGTGTAAGTATCTTGCAAGGAGAGGGGATGAGGGAGGGGGTTACGGCTGGGATACAAAGTACATAACCTGTGATTAATATTAAAAAAATAAAAAGCATAAAAAAATTAAAATGTCTGAATGAGAAATTTTAAAAAAGTGTCTTGCAAGAAGAACAACTATCTTAGGGAGTAGGTATCCTAGTGACTCCTTTTGGTACAGGAGTCAATTGTGATCAGTTGGAAAGAAAAAGAAACATAGAAAACGGCCTTTTAGAAGAAAATTATAAAGGATTTAAATACTTTATGATTCGGTGTGAGGGGAAAAATTCTTCCAGATAAAAGAAATGGTGTAAATAAAGCATGGAACCAGTAAAAACTAATGGAGCTGAAGTTTAAAAGCCAAAGTGCAAAGAGCAATGGCAGAAGTTACAAGTTACTGAATGGGAGTAAACCATTCAGAATGCTGAATGACAGCTTGAATTCCACTTTGTAAGAGATAAGAACACAGCCAGACGGGGTGGTGCACACCTGTAATCCCAGCACTCAAGGAGGCAAAGGCAGGCGGATCTCTGTGAGTTACGGACAGCCTGGTCTACAAAGCAAGAGTCTAGGATAGCCAAGGGTACATAGAAAAAGCATGTCTGGAAAAACAAAAAAGAGCAAGAGAGCGAGAGCAAGAGCAAGAGAGTGAGAGAAAGAGGAAGGAGAGGGAGGGAGAGAGAGGCGGGAGGGAGAAAAAAGGGAGGGCGAGCAAGAGAGATGAGAACATGTAAAAAGTTTTCTCCCTTTTTCTGTCTTCCATCCTTCTGTCTCTTTCTCACTCTGCTGAGTAACTGTCACAACCCTCTTGAGAATCTGAAACAGACACTCTTCTGGGGGCGGGGGCTGACATCTATTACTAAATCCAAAAATTTTTCATAAGAAGAAAGTATCTCTTAATCTGAAAAGGTGGTAAAGTTCACAGTATTTATGATTTAAAAGGGGACATATCTACAAGTTACAGTGATTAGGAACAGACTAATAATGCAAAAAAATACACATTTCATTTGTAAATTTGTTTTCATTTTAAAAAGAGACAAAAACAGGGATGCAAAAAGCTCCAGAAATGCATTCAAGAGAGCAACCTCTGTGAGGTAGAAGGAGGGGCACTGAGGAAAAGTAAAGAGAAACAGCACAGAATGAAACTACAGCAGAAAACTCTAAAACCCTGGACAAAAGGAGCTGCTACCCAAACACACACACACACACACACACACACACACACACACACACACACACACACAGAAAAAAGGCATCCAGAAGGCAAACTAGACCTGGCCAGAGAGCTTCTCCATGACTAACATATGAAGGAATGAAGCAATACTGAAAAATACCACCTCACAAAGGCAGGGATATCATAGTAACTTCAGGTCTTTAATCTGCAACCCTAAAAGCCAGAAAAACACGTATGATACTTTCAACAGGAAGAAAATAATTACCAAATAGAACACTATACCCTCCCAAAAAAATATATTTCAACACTGATCAACAAATAACAGTTTTTTTTTTTTTTTTTTTGTCATAAATTGTCTTCATTTGTGTTGCCTGAAATACTGTTATTTGTTGATCAGTGTTGAAATATATTTTTTTGGGAGGGTAAATATCTAAAAAGGTCCACTTCCATGGGATAGCTCTCTCAGAGAAACCCACATACTCATGCTCTTGGATGTGCCTCGCTTTATTCACAAGTACCTTACTCCTTCTCTTAACCCTCTAGCTTATAATCTATATTAAAAATATTTTAATAGGCCCTAATTATAGTTAAGAAAAATGAAAGCATTCCCTGAAAGAAACAGGTGAACAACAAAGAGCTGGGAAAGAAACAGTCAGGTCTAACCCAGTAAAACAGCCAATGCTGAAAACTAACAGGGGAGAAGAAAAGAAACATCCATAATCCAGACAGCCAGGATCTCACAACAAAATCAAAGAAAATTAAAAAAAAGAAAAGAAAAAAGGCTGACTTAAAAAATAATCTCAAATGTAAATTTAAAAATGAGAGCCCCTTCAACTAGCAAAGATGCCTAAAAAGTGAATGTCAAAAGGTATAATCAACTTAACCAAGCATCTGAGAAAACAGATTTCAAATAAAAACAAATCAAAAGAGACAAATGAAAACTCTGAAGAGCATGGAGAGATGGCTCAGCAGTTAGGAGCACTTGCTGCTCTTACAGAGAGGACTTGGTCAAATGTCTTTTCTGCATCTATCTTAGATGACCAATTAGGTTGTTTTTTCATTTTCATTTGTTTCTAGGGATTTTTTAATTTGTTCCCTGATTTTTTTCAATGATCCAGTGTCATCCGTAAGTGTTTTGTGTAGCCTACAAGTGTTTGTGTTCTTTCAGAAGTTTCTGTTACTGCTGATTTTTACTTTGATTTTACTGTGGAGAGTATACAAGAAGAGCGTGTGTCCTGTGTGTGCTGGCTGGGCTATTCTGTACATATTCGTTACATCAGTTTCTTTGCTGATTTTAAACTTGGGAGACTGTCTAACATGAGAGTGAGGTATTGAACTCTGCTACTGTTAATATGCCAGGACTTAGGATCTCTTATATCTTCTAGTGTTTTATGAAACTAGGTTTATTGATATTTGGTGCATAAATGATTAAAATTGTTAACTTTTTCTTGATGAGTCATACCCTTTATTCAGTATTGTCTTGAAGAGTGTGTATGTTTTTGTGTTTGTCTCTGTGTGTATGTGTGTGTATGTGTGTGTGTGTGTATCATGTGTGTTCAAGTTATTGTGGAAGCCAGAGGAAGACATCAGATTTCCTGAAACTGGTTGTGAGCTGGCACAGTTGTGAGCTGCCATTCAGGAAATCAGTATTGAGATTTCTCAAAAATTAAAAACAGATACAGCCATACTATTCCTAGGCATATACTCAAAGGACTCCACAGCCTACCACAGAGATACCTGCACATTCATGTTTATTGCTGAGTCACTCACAAGATCAAGGAAATGGAACCAATGTTGATGTCCATCAAGAGATAAATGGATAATCAAAATGTAGTATACAAATACAAGAGAATTTTAACTACAAGGAAAATGAAATAATGACATTTACAAGAAAATGGATGAATCTTGATGTATATTAATCAAAGTAACACAGACTGCAAATTCTGACAAAGATTACACGCTGACTTTCACATGCAGATCCTTACTTATGTTTACATATAAATAGTGTTAAGTATGGCCACAGACTATAAAACTAGAAAGGAAACTAAATGAGGGGGAAAAGATGTTGAGGAAGTGGTAGTAATGAGAAAAAAAAGGGAGGTTTTGAAGGTGTAAGGTATAAGGGAGATACAGGTAATAAGGGAGGGAGAATCAATAAAAGCATTTTGTTGAGTCAAACATTTTAGTTCAGAATGTTATAACAAATCCTAATACTGTGCATGATGACTAAATATTTTTACATAAAATTGAAAAAAATTACTTATCTGAAGAAATCTTCAAATTAAAGTATTATATATGTGTATATATGTACATATATATTTTGTAAATCTCTCCAAAAGACAAAATAGTCTCACTTGTCAAAAAACAGTCAATTGAAGGCTTCTTATATGACAAAATTAAAGACTATTACAAGTGTATTCTTAATTTTTTAAGCTTCATTACCTTAGGTACTTGCTCCAGATCTGTCCTGGATTTATCTATTTAAAAAAAAAAAAAAAAAAACAGTAAAAGGTAAATACAATTTTTCAAATTTATTTTCATTTTATATTCATAAATACATTTTTGAAAATTCAATATTGCACGAGCAGTTACCTAGGTAACTGCTGAAGTTTTGTACTTCAAGTATTCTTCAATCTACCTACTATCTCCACTATCGCAGGCCACATTAAACAAATGATCCAAATAAACTTACCAGTTAACAACAAACAGCTGAATCCATTTCAAATCTCTCTGATGCTCATTTCATTAAGCTGTTGTAAAATTAAGGACGGAATGCTATGCGGTTTTAGAAACTATATTAAATTCTAAAATAGAAATATGATTTTTGTTTTTTATTGCTTTAATTGTTTCTGTTTTTTGAGGCAAGGTCTTCCTTCATTGTCCAAGTTGGCCTGGAACTTATTATATTATAGCCCAAGCTAACCTCAAATTCATAAACCTCTTGCCTCAGCCTCCAAGTTCTAGGATTATAGGTGTTTCACCACACTCAACTAGAAATATTACTTTTATTTTATTAAAAATTTCACCCTGAATTTCTGATCAAAATCTAATTTTTTTAAATTTTTTTACTTATTACAATTAATTCACTTTGTAGCCCCTCCCTCATCTCCTCCCAATCTCACCCTCCCTCCCTCTTCTCCCATGCCCCCTCCCCAGTCCACTGATGGGGGAGGTCCTCCTCCCCTTCCATCTGACCCTAGCCTATCAGGTCTCATCAGGACTGGCCGCACTGCCTTCTTCTGTGGCTGGTAGGGCTGCTCCCCCTTCAGAGGCAGGTGATCAAAGAACCAGCCCCTGAGTTCATGTCAGAGACAGTCCCTATTCCCCTTACTAGGGCACCCACTTGGAGACTGAGCTGCCCTGGGCTACATTTGTGCAGGGTTTCTAGGTTATCGCCATGCATGGTCCTTGGTTGGAGTTATCAGTCTCAGAAAAGACCCCTGGGCCCAGATTTTTTGTTTCTGTTGCTCTCCTTGTGGAGCTCCAGTACCCTCCAATCTTTCTATCTCCCCCTTCTTTCATAAGATTCCCTACACTCTGCCCAAAGTTTGTCTGAGTCTCAACATCAGCTTTAATACCCTGTTGGGTATTAAATGTTGAGCATTTCTTTAAGTGTTTCTCTGCCATGCGATATTCCTCTATTGAGAATTCTCTGTTTAGCTCTGTACCCATTTTTTAATTGGATTACTTGATTTGTTGGTATTTAACTTCTTGAGTTCTTTATATATTCTGGATATTAGCCCTCTGTCAGATGTAGGGTTGGTGAAGATCCTTTCCCAGTCTGTCGGCTGTTGTTTTGTTCCGATGACAGTGTCTTTTGCTTTACAGAAGCTTTTCAGTTTCATGAGGTCCCATTTATTGATTGTTGCGCTTAGAGCCTGTGCTGTTGGTGTTCTGTTCAGGAAGTTGTCTCCTGTGCCAATGAGTTCAAGGCTCTTCCCCACTTTTTCTTCTAACAGGTTTAGTGTGTCTGTTTTTATGTTGAGGCCTCTGATCCACTTGGACTTTAGTTTTGTGCATGGTTTTAAGTATGGATTTGCATTTTTCTACATGTAGACATCAGTTAGACCAGCACCATTTGTTAAAGATGCTATCTTTTTTCCACTGTATAGTTTGGCATCTTTGTCAAAAATCAGGTGTCCATAAGTGTATGGGTTTATTTCTGGGTCTTCTATTTGATTCCACTGATCCACATTCTGTTTCATTCTGTTTCATCCACATGCCAGTACCATGCAGTTTTAATTACTGCTACTCTAAAATACAGCTTGAGATCAGCAATGGAGGTACCTCCAGAGGATCTTTTATTGTAGAGGATTTTTTTGGCGATTCTGGGTTTCTTGTTATTCCATATGAAACTGAGAATTGTTCTTTCAAGGTCTGTAAAGAATTGTGTTGGTGATTTGATTAGAATTGCATTGAATCTGTAGATTGCTTTTGGTAAAATGGCTATTTTTACTATGTTAATCCTGCCAAGCCATGAGCATGGGAGATTTTTCCATCTTCTGATATCTTCTTCTTCTTTTTCTTTGAGACTTGAAGTTTTTTTCATACAAGTCTCTGACTTGCTTGGTTAGAGTAACACCACGGTATTTTATATCCTTTGTGGCTATTGTGAAAGATGTTGTTTCCCTAATTTCTTTCTCAGCCCATTTGTCTTTTGTATACAGGAGAGATACTGATTTTTTTTTTTTTTTTTTTTTTAGTTAATTTTGTATCCAGCGACTTTGCTGAAGGTGTTTATAAGCTGTAGGTGTTCCCTGGTAGAATTTTTGGGGTCATTCATGTATACTGTCATATCATCTACAAATAATGATACTTTGACTTCTTCCTTTCCAATTTGTATCCCCTTGATCTCCTTTAATTGCCTTATTGCTCCAGCAAGGACTTCAAGAACCATGTTGAAGAGATACAGAGAGCATGGGCAGCCTTGTCCCCAGTCTCCGTGGGATTGATTTCAGTTTCTCTCTGTTTAGTTTGATGTTGGCTATAGGTTTCCTGTATACTGCCTTTACTATGTTTAGGTAAGTGTCAAAGGCTAATTTTTGATAGCATATTTTCTTCTCTGACATCTTAGTTTGTGTTACCTACAAATGTATCTACAAATACTTTTGTCTTCATCCTGCCAAGCTAATCTCAAATCAGCCTTTCTACACAGACTTGGACTCCACCCCTCATGTCTCTCCTGTGAGTCTGCTTCACTGATTACCTTTTCTCTCCACAGTTTCAAATTCTTTTCTTAAACTAATTATTTTATCAATGCATGGAAAGATGCTCAGTTCTCTTCCACTTACAAAACTGAGAAACTAAAACGTAGAACCAGGAATGGGTTGGAACAAGGGAGCCACCCGAGGAGCAAAATATATGGAAAGCAGAGGTGTCTAGCTCTATGCACAGGCCTCTCCTGCCTCATCTACTCACAGCTCTTTAGTCACTCAGTACCTTAACTCAAGTCTTCAAGTTCATCCCTACCAACAGTCTACATACAGTTCTTGCTCATGTACCCTTATGTAGTATCGAGGTTTCCATAACCACTATTTTGCTCTAAAGGCTCGCTCTAAAACTCTTGTCAAATCCTAGAAGACTTCTCAGCAAAGAGCACTCTGACATAAACTTATCTAAGACTCTCATAGCTTTTCATTTCTAAGGTCAAATTCTCTCTTCACTGATCTCCCTATCTCTCTGACCACTTTTTTAAGTCTCCTTCAAGAGTACCTCATTTTCTATCTGCCCCTTAAATGAGACTGTTTCATTGTATCATTAGTCCTTTCCTTTTACTATTTACATCCTATGTGAGTGATCCCATCAACACCCTTAGGTTGAACTACCATGCCTTTGTCGTGTATATTATATTGTCTCTGATAACAACGTCCATGCCTGCATTTAAGCCTGTATTTCCCTTCCTGAGCTCTAATTTGCCAACCAGATATGTCTTTCATTGAAAATTAGCAGCTAAACTAGCTTCCATGTCTTCCAGAATTCTTCCTGCCTTTCTCAGTGAAATGAACTCTTCATGTAGACAGCTGCTCAAGCACGAAATATAGGAGTTATCACTGAATCATCCTGTTCCATTCCCAAAGCCAACTGCTAAAACGTGTGCCTGGGCCACTTCGCCATCTTTCTGAATTTCTTTCCACTTCTACTCTTCTGGGACCACATCGTTTCTTACTTATATTACTGCAACACACCAACTATCTTGTCTCCAGTCTTACAACCATATAACAACACTATTAACTGTTTCCACTAGAAAATGTACAACAATAAATCTAATCATGCCTGGCTAAAAATATTTTGTAGTTCTGTATTGTCTTTAGATAGAGTAAAATCCCTGAACATAATATACAAATTCTCTATGGCCTGATCCCTGCGTATTCCTTTTACTTCATTTCTTATTCGCATAGAGCCAACATATAAAACGTGTGCTACTCTCTGAACATGCTTAGTTCTCGCTATGGCTTTGTATATACTGTTTGTGTGTACATGTCTGTGTGTATGTATTCACATTCATTCCTAAGAAATACATAATCCCACCACATACATACATGTTTCCTACTAACTAATTTAAAATACAGGTCATAATCAACTATGGGACATTTTCTTAAGCCTAGAAAGAAATGGTTAGGTGTACATCTTATAAAGCTGAAGTGATTAATATACAGTGCTACAATTATTGGTCTATTTTCTTAAATTCCTTGAGAGCTAAAACTATTTCTTACTCTTTTACTTTTATGCAACAAACAATGCACCAAGCACAAAGAAAATAAATACTTGCCAAACTAAAGGATTATAATACTATCACAGTCATAACCATTCTCTAAGGTTAGAGAAAAGATTATGGTTTTAGACCATAAAATTTCTTAGTAGAAATATAAGGCAGGAAAACAACCTAACATACACAGGTCCAGGTTTCAATCCCCAGTACCACAAAAAAAAAAAAAAAACAACACAAATAATTCACTAAAAATAAAAGCTGTACATATAGTAGAAACAAGGTTCTAAGGTTGACAATTTGTTCATTAATATTTAAGCTGTGCTTATTATCTATAAATAGCATATATTCATACCATGAATATGTAAAAGAGTCCTGTCAAAGGTATCTTTAGGAGGACAAATATTCTTGCATCTTTCATGAATCTTCTCTCTCTAGTAAAAACACAATGAAATAAAAATCAATGCAATGAGGAAATGATTATTCAAGGCATCAAATGTTTTACAACATAATTAAAATATACGTTTCTTCTGAAACTTTTAATATAAAATCACTAACCTCTGAATGAAAATAAAAATAGAAACCAAGGGATAGAGATATAGCTCAGTGCTAGGCACTTGCTTCACTTGTATAAAGCATTGGGTTTTCAAGCAGACCGACAGCTAGATGGACGGATGGATCGATGTTTCTTTTCTTTTCAGGAATGGCATTTTAAAAAACGTGAAAATGTGGGATGTGAAGCAAGAAAACACTCAGCTGGTAGCACTCAAAGTTGTAGGAGCATCTGCCAGTTACTCACAGACCGTCTGGCGAGGAGCCGCACTGGCAATGAATGAGCCTGCACTGCTACATCCCCTGCCAGCGCTGCTTGTCGGTGACTGAGGTCTGTACCTCGCTAAAAAGGACACAGTAGCACCTACTCATTTTAACTTACAATTTGTAGGTTCTATATAAAAAATAACTGAAAACCCTGCTTATGAATTAGATATCATACAAATTAATGTATTCATCTATCTCCACAGATCAATAATGTAAGCAAGTGAAGAAAATCAGCAGTATTTAAATTATGCTTGTAAATGAAGAAATACTAAATGCAGCAGTTATAAAAACAGAAATACACACTGATCTGGAAAATAGCCCTGTATATAATCTCAACTGCTGAGAAGGCTGAGGTCGAAGAGCAGCACAGTCAAGCGAGCACACGTGCCCACACAAGGACAATGTGCCTTTGTTACTAGATACATGCTTCCCAGTGCGCCACTTACTTTCATAAAGACCCAACTGGTAACTGGGATATTAATAACAATCTCTTGCTAAATTAAAAGTGAGACACAGGTCTTTTCAAACTCGAATTCAATTCTTCCTTTCAGAAAGCACAGTTTAAAGAAGCATGCTAAGATGGCATGAGGTGCACGGCTTCAACCTCAGTACTCAGGAGGTACAGGCAGGCAGCGCTCTGTAAATCCAGGCTGTGAGTTTAAGACCATCCTGATCTACACAGCAGGTTCCGGGTCAGTCAGGGCTATAGAGCTGCCCTCTCAAAAGAAAAAGAAACAAAACACAAAGAAGGTTGAGTTGACCTCTGTCTGGATACAATAAAAGTACCTGCTTAAGGTGGGATGCTCTGCCTTAGTAAACTGGAGACACGGAAAAAGTTCACTCTTCATTTTTTTTTTTCTTGAGAACTTTATCAGCAAATAATCTCCCAAGCTGCTTAAGCAGAACTACACACGTTCTTGTTCTCTGTCTTTAAGCGCGGGGCTGCTTAGGCAGAACTATACACATTCTCGTTCTCTGTCTTTAAGCGAGGGGGAGGGCACAGCAGTACAGGACTATACTAGCAAGTTTCAACATTTCCTAGGCTGCCTCTCTGCTTTTGCTACTTGCATTTTAAATAAAGTTCACGAAGAAACAGCTGAAACATTTCTTCAAAACCTGTCTCCTGCCAGGTGTGTTAATGTACACAGCAGGCAGAGGTGGCAGACTTCTGGATTTGAGGTCAGTCTGCTCGATACGTTCCAGGCCAGCTGGGGCTACAGAGTAAGACCTTGTCTCAAAAAAAGAAAAAAATATATGTATCACCACGTGAGACTGGAAAGAGATATTCTATTTCTACTTCCCCCAACTTTCAATGTATTTATGCTGATTCTTGTCTTTCTCTTCTAACTAATCTGTAACTCTGAAGTTCACCAAATCCTTCCTGTAACTGCAGTTACTTGATGAGGTTTGTCAGAAATTTATAGAATCATCACCTCCAAGCCTATACCTGGCAGTATCCCAAGCTTAAAAGGAACACAGAGAATCAATAATGTCTCAAGGTCAGAGCCTGCTATGGAAAAGCCTAAGTTACACGGCAGCATTTGACACTAGAACACAGAGGTAAACAGAGGGGAAGAAGCCAAATATGTATGGACAACAGGATCTCTTCTTCTAGCACCAAATTCTGAGACAAATCACAACAAAGCAGAATCAATAGCTCAAATTTCAGAGTAAGTCAGCATCTTCATGATTACCATCATGTGATGAGGAGGCTGTTAAGTGGAGGCACAGTAGCTATGTAAAACTCTTTTTGTCTCAGTGGGCATGCTGGCAAGAGAGGAATAACTTTCTGTGACCCTGTCCTTCAACAGTTCTTTTTCCTTCCCCAGGTCTTCAGGAAGCTCAACAGTGTATCTTTTACAAACTAATTCTAACTCAATACAAAGTATCTTCCTGTTACAGTTACCATTTCAGTGTATCTTTGTCCAGACTCCGGTCTGGATGTACCTACAGATCTCAGCCACCAGGGGCTTCTAATCAGCACAACAGGCCTGTCAGACTCACCCAGAGCTCCCTCTTCCTGCTGTTCACCTGAAAGGATGACTGAAACCAGACTACACTCTATTGCTTGAAACAGATCAGGAAACATTTCTAAGAAAGCGGAAGTCTTTCAGTGGGCAAGCCTCATTGTCTCCAAAGTCAACAAATATAACCCAAAGTGTCAAGGATTCAGGCTCCATACCAGGAATGATCTATACACACATACATACAAAAGTATTGTTCAGTGGCTCCTTCATACCCAGTCAAATCTTCAGGCAAAACAGTCTGATAGTCATGGGTCATCTCATCGATAAGCTTAACCAACTGCAGACTGTGGAGCCAACGATTTGGATTTAGCAGTACTTAAGGCGTTTAGAAACAAAACAAAACAAAAAAAAAAAAAAATAGACAACTGAGTACTGAAGTCAGGACTAAGGATTTCCAAATATGGAAGCCTCTGGATTGGTCTGGGCTCCTGACTTCAGAAAACTGTCATTGTCAGGTCTTACAAGAGCAATATAAACACTTCCATGTGAGGAAGAACCTCCAGAAGTATGGCCTGCCTTGTGCTGGAATTATTTTTCCACAAAACGTCTTCTCCAGCTTTGTCTGCCTCTTTCACTTCCTAATCTTTTCACACTAATCAACTGCTTACTTTAGACCCTAATTTCTGCAGAAGGGACAATTCTCTTTTAAAGTTGTTCATCTTCTGAAACTGTGTTTCAAAGTTTGTCTGCTGCAATGACCTTCTGCTTTCCTTAGATGTGTGTACATCTTGATAGCAGTAACATTCCCTCTTAATTGTCTGTCCCAGGAAAATTTGGCTTTAAAAGCCATACAGGGAGAATGAACCATCTTTTAGCCAACCCCTCCTATGATTCTATCCACAAATGTCTGAGAACTCAAGAGCCACTAAACGTGGCATGCACCCTGTCAGGCTCCAACTGGTTGATGCTTTGGCCCTGTACACCTGAACAATCAAATTACTGACAAGCAGCCTTTGCTTATCGCCCACTTCCTCTGTGTTTACATGAACCCATGTTTCTGATTCCACAGCTGTTTAATACTAGCTCCTGGCCAGCCAAAGATGAGTTTCACAGGCTTCAGAGGAACCCATCTCTATCTTAATGTTCTCTCCAACAAGTAAGCCACAGTTCTCTGCTTTCCCCCTTACAGCAGTAATAGGCAACTGTATGCATGTGTCAGAATCCAAAGGCCCATGGCTCTATTCTGAACAGTGGGCAGTCTTGTCCATGGAGTCCATTCAGAGGGTACTTTCTGCTGTGCTGGTTGATCCTGCTCCTCCAGAGTCGGGCATCATGTTCCCCGGCTCTCATGCCACTTGGCTTGCCTGCTCCCTCTCACACCCCAACCAGCGACTTCCTAAATCTCACAACTCATCTGAGTGAACCATTTCTGTTTGGCAAACACAGTAGTGTCCCACTACATCTTAAGACTAATAAAATTTCCTCATCCTGAAAAAAAAAATCACTACAGCAGAAGTAAAATACATCTATTAAAATGTATTTAGACAAGGAAACAAAACTCAGGACAAAAAGATTGTATTCATATAAAAGAATGCCATGGCTTCGTCAAAGATTATTACTCAAAAATCTTCCTCTTACTTTTGACTTGACTGTCACTAACTTCAGGGTCAGCTATTACCTGAGAGATCTCCTGCTGATAGGCTATGAAATGCTCCTTGCTGATCTGTGGGAGGTAGAATGACGGCGTGACTTCAGTGTCCACAAAGTCCAATCCCCATGTTTTTGTGAAGAAGTCGGACTCTCTTTTTGCTAATGTAGGATCATTTAATGCTGCTGGGAGGTTTACTTTGGAATGATATACAGTCCATCTACGTTGATCTGTAACTAGAGATGGGGCAACACATAAACTATTTGAATCACCTGCAAAAGTAAACAGGAGAACTCTGTAATGTTGGCTCTATGTTTGCAAGTATATCCTATAAAAATAAAAATGTTTACAGTCTATTTTATAGGCAATCAAACTCTTTCTCTATGGTAAATTATTAATAAAAATCACCCTGATTAAATCCTCATCATCCAGCACCAATTATCAAAGGAATAAGAAACTAAGATGAAGGACATTACAAATTCCCAAATGGGGAGCATATAGGGAAAAGCATTTCATTAGTCAAATTCTTTAATTACGGTTTCTCTCCTGAAAACATAAAAATGCCTGTTTTTCTTTCAAAGATAGGCCTTTTTCCTGTTGTACTATGGCGGCTATTATCGTTTAAACACCCTCTGTTTGGCTTAGAATCAAATGGCATCACACTACTGCGGCATTGATCGTATGTACACATTTCTTATACAAATTCACTGTGCACAGCCAGCAGCTAGTATGAAATGACCGATCCCTAGCGCTGCTGTCCTCAATAATATCCCACCTTTATCAGTCAGTAAATCGTCTGCTATCTTACTGTGATGCTCGTTTGAAGACGCTGATTACCACCCACCTTTAGTCATTCTGACATGAGAGCTGTCAGGGTTACAAGCAGGGCTTGAATGATGCTTTCTACATGTTTCCTCCATAAAGCACACCACAACTTCTCTGTGTTTAGCTACCCCAGACAGTACCTCAGCCCTATACTACAGGCCATCTTAAAAAGCAACATCTCCAACAAGAAACAACAACAATAAAAACTAAAATGGGTAACATTAAACAGGCTTCATAAAGACAATAGTCTCCAGGACCTGTAGCAAGAAGGCCGAGCACCCCCAGCTGTAAGCACCTGGATTAGGCAACCCAAATTTTTTACTGCTCTGCACACATCTGCAAATACCACCTAAGTACAACAAATATTTAATATTTGAGTTAAAATACGTTTTAGGGAGTTAGCATTTTTGCAAATACAGGATCTGCTAATAATGAGACTGACTACATTTAACTAAATAGCTTTCAATTTGGACCTCCATTTTCAGTATTTTTCCAGTTAACTGCCTTAATGAAAATGCAAGCAAAACTATATTCTAATTTCCCAATCAACTATACATTTTGGGTTTTTTAATCATTATAATTACTCTTTTGAAGTAATTATAGGAAACCTGACTACACTTTTAATGATAACACAAATCATCAGAAAAATCCTCAAAAGAAAAGAAAAGTTACCCGTAGGTTCCTTGGGACACACATCAGGCAGTGACTGCACAGGTCGAATGTGTTTTGCTGGATCTACCTCTTTTTTAAAGAAAACATCACTGCTGCTTCCTTGAGGCACTGGAGAAGAATTGTGGCTTGAAGCCATTGCATAAAATCACCACTCAACTGAAAATAAAACACAAGTAATAATTAAAACAATATAAACAAAATCCATAATACACATCACAACAAGTAGCATTTTTTTTTTCAAAAACTGAGTATCTGTGGTTAATTGTGAAGGTTGTTCAGAATATTTAGTTTGCTAAGAAGCTTGTTTTTCCTTCTTTGAAAAAAAAAATCCCAAAGGTGAACATTCTTAATTTTTTTATTAAAAATATAAATACATAATAATCTTATACCCAAAATATTAAAAATGAGACATGCCATTCATTCATGACTTCAATAATGACACACTACCAAAATGGCTCAGTGCATAAATTTTAAGTCCTTTTTGCTGGGTTCAGATCTCTTCATTCACCAACAATATAACCATATGAAATTCCTTAACCCATGTGCATCTTTCTTCATCTGTAAAATAGATGAAAAAGATCACACCTCAAAAATATATAAAAAATCATGAACGTGTACACATGTAAGTTTAACATTATCTAATGTTAAGTGTTCACAGATTAGCTACTATAATTACATATTTGCATTATATAACACACAATAATTATAAAATCATTAGGAAAAATTATAAATGAAACAATATTGCAACTAGACTAAAGGACAAGTATTATTTGGTTGTCTTAAGACCCCCAAAATCATGTGCTACAACAAATTTAAAAAAAAAAAACAAGTTGGGCAAATGGAATAGGGGCTGGAAAGATGGCTCCGTGGCTATGAGCTGCACTTGCAGAGAACCTGAGTTCAGTTCCCAGCATCCACAAAGGAGCTCACAACCTTATCTGTAACTCCAGTTCCAGATGATCCAAAGCCCTCTGCTGGCCTCCACAAGTACTGCACATACATAATGAACATACATGAAGGCAAAATACCCCACCCACATAAAATGAGAACCTAACTATCTCTCTCAGTACTTTAGTACAGTACCCACCCATCAACCACCCATCTACTTAAGAGTGTAAAATACACTGCTGCCAGTGTCAGGGGCACACCTTTAGTTTCGGCACTTGGGAGGCAGAGGCATCTCTGAGCTCAAGGTCAGCGTGGTCTACAGAGTGTGCGCTGGGGAGCAGGGTGCTTCTAAGAAAATAAACAGACCCTGGCATCTCTAAAGGCATAGTTACAGACCTACCTGCTAAAGACATAGCTTTTGGTTTACAAGAAAAACAGAGGACTAGGAGAATAAGGTTTAAACCTTTAAGGGAGAAATAACAAATCAAAAATAGAAGGCATTATATAAGAAAACTGGTCTGGCAACTAGTAACAAGTCATTCTAGACTAAACTAGTAAAGGGGCAACAACTAAAAGCAGTTAACTTTGCCTGAATCCTATTTTTATAAAATGGCTTTGCAACATCCTTGCAATTTTTAATATGGATTGGATATTAGATGGTATTTTGAAATCATTAATTTTCTTAGTTGTATTAATAGTATTGAAAATACCAGAACTATATTTACGGTTAGCATTAGAATAAGGAAGTATTTAAAGGTAATATATCTTGTCACTATCTGCAATTTACTTTTAAATAATTAAGCAAAGGATTCACATAAAACAAACCTGACAAAATGTAAAAACAAAATAAGTATAACAGAATATTAAATCTTATTTTATTTTTCCATGTTTTAAATTTTCCAAAGTAAAAGCCTGAGGGAAGGAAATACATATTTGTAAAATATTAATCAGTACAAAATATAAGTATCCAGAAAAAAAAATAATTTGTAACCATTACTTAGTCTACCTCAAGATGGCATTATTGTATAACTTCAAATATGTAAAAAAAAAAAAAAAACAAAAAAAAACTATCAAAAGGTTTCAAAGTTTATGCTGCAGAAGATTTTTTTGTTTATTTGTTTTTTGAGACAGGGTTTCTCTGTGTAGTCTTAGCTGTCCCCCTATAGAGCAGGCTGGACTCAACGCACAGAAATTACCCTGAGGCATTAACGGCATGCACCCCCCTAGCTGCTGCAGAAGAATTCTGCCATATACAGAAGCTGGAACTCCTTAAATACAAGCTTTAGCTGCGACTCCCTACAGCTACACTTTATTACAAACAGAACATTACGTACATAGGATACAAAAGTTGCTTCCTTCCTTCTTCACTGTAACAGGCGCTGCTTAAAGCAAACACACTGTAAACTATTTGCAGTTATGGACAGCTCTAAGTTTCCCATAACCTTGCCTGTCACACAGACAGTAATGGAAAACATCCATTTTATTCCTCTTGCTTACTATTTCGAATCTGCCCAAAACAGCTAACTGCCATTATGGCATTTTCATACACGTGACATTATACTTTGTTCTAATTTATTCCCCATCCCTATGGGTTAACTAAAAGCAGTTATCCTTGACTAAATCTTGTTTTTGTAAAATAGCTTTGAGACAAGCTTGGAACTTTTAATATGGTTTGGATATTAGATGGTATTTTGAAATCATTAATTTTCTTAGTTGTATTAATAATATTGAAAATATCAGAAATGTCTTTCTTTATGCTTAGCATTAGGCAAATACCCTAACTTAATTTCCTTTCTCCTATTCATAAGTGATATCTTAGTAGTTAATCTAAAATCACCTGTCCTGTCATTCTACAGACTTCTAACTGGTCTCTCTGCTTCCAGGCCAAACTACTACATGTAGAGTTTTAGGATGAATCTACTAAGAAGTTTTCATCCTGTTATACTTCAGCTCAAAACTTTAAAAAATTATTACTTCCCAAACCAATCTCAAATTTCATTAATTGATACACAAGACTCTTAACCTCTAATATTAACTTATCTTTCTTTGTTTATCATCTTAATGCTTATTTCCTGTGGATACACTTCAAAAAAAGGTGGCCTGTCTTTTAAGATGCTTGCCAAGCTGCTTTGTCTCTGGAAAGCTGTGCTGTGCACCTTTGCAAAATGTTCATGCCACCTTCTCCCCTTTCTCCTTTAAAAGGTTACTTTAAGTTTCATTTCTAGATTACACACCCCCCAAAAAAAATAAATATACATATACTTGAAAATATGAATAAAATAATTCCAGCACTGGCCTATAATCTCAGTTACTAGGTGTCAGGTCCCAAAGAAACTCAGGACAAATGGCTATCTGTGGCACCTATTATCAAAGTTCATGATGGCCTTCAGGCTCCCTCAGTATCACAAGTACCTGTTACACATTTCAGAGTCCATGCTGTTGTCCTGACTCTTCCCACCCTGCATCTATCTTAAACTTTTCCAGCTCGTGGGCTTTCCTCCCCGAGCTTCTCATTCAGATACACGCTCTCTTGGCCCCTTTTCTCTTGCCCCTCTCTCTTGGCTATCTTTCTCTTCCTCTCTTCGATCTCCCCCCACAACCATACCTTGCAGTGGTCATTCCCTCATTTGATACAACAGAGGCTAAGACAAGAGCATTGTAACTTAAATCACCTTGTTATAGAGTGAGTTCAAGACCACACCCTGTCCAAAAAGGAAAAGTAAAAAGGTGAGGGTATTCTGTTTTGCTTTCTATTGCTGTGATAAAGACTGTGACCAAGAGCAATCTAGGAGGAAATAATTTATTTAGCTCAGTCCATCAATGGGGTAAACCGAGGCAGAAATGGAACAGAGATCCTGGAAGAGTGCTGCTTACATGACTTGACCAGGCTGCTTTCTTATACAACTCAGGACCACCTGCCGAGGGGTGGCATGGCCCACATCAATCACTAATCAAGAAAACAATCCACAGCCTTGCCTACAGGCCACTCTGATAGGGTATTTTCTAAACTGAGGTTTCCTCTTCCCAGATGACCCTAGCTTGTGTCAAGCAGAGAGAAAACCAGCCAGCACATGGTGACATGACTAAGTGGTAGAGGTAGGTTCTTGCCTGGCATGCACAGAGGCCTTGGGTTCAAGGTCTGTACATAGAATAATACTATACATATACTAATAATCCTAGTATACTATACATATAATAATCCTAGTATATTCTCTCTCTCTTGTCAAGACAGGGTTTCTCTGTGTAGCCGTAGCCCTCCTGGAACTCATTCTGTAGACCAGGATGGCCTCGAACTCAGAGGTCTGCCTGCCTCTGCCTCCCAAGTGCTGGGATTAAAGGTGGGCTCCACCACTGCCCAGCTAATCTTAGTATTTTTAAAAGTAAAAAGTTCAAACAGTCAAACACTTAACTAAATTAGAAAAAAAAGGTTAATTAGCTATAGTATAACTAACCAATTAAAAATAATATATTAACAATCAAAACTGTAGGCACTAGGAGCATAGCTCAGTCAATAAAGTGCTTGCCTTGCAAACTCAGAGACCTGAATTGCATCCTCAAATTCACTGCATTACCTGCGTATAAATAAATAAAGAAATAGATAGATAGATAGATAAATAAGTAGATGAATGAATGAGTGAATCTAGGCATTTGTAACCCCAATGCAAGTTATAAAAAGAGAGATTCCTGGGTTCTCTGGCCAGTCGGCCTGGCCTGCGTAGTGAGGCCCAGACAGTCAGAGACACTGTCTAAGATCCTAAGGGGTTGGCGGTACCGGAAAGACAACACGGAAGGCTGCCCCCTGCATTCCATGTGCACCCATACATACACACACACACACACACACTGCACAAACATCCTTATATGTGTACACACAGAGAGAGAGATATTTCAAAGAAATAAAGCATATTGCTCAACTGTTTTGCTAAACATTATTGTCAGTCATAAGCCATATGCAAATTTGGGACATTTTTCCTTATAACAAGAAAACCACATAGTAAAATTAAGCTTATCAGCTTAGCTCTTTAAAGTAATTTTATAAATGATTACCGAAGCACTCATATTAAGAATAGAGCCAGTTCTGTCTCACTATTTACTTTGCTTTCATTTATTAGGATTATCCTTCATCTAAGATTTCTCTGCAGGAATTGTTCTGGGATTGTTGCATAATTTACTAGAATTCCTTTAGTCAAAACAAGACAAACATGAACTGATTGGCCTGTTCTTTAATTACCTCCCCCTGAAGGGGAAGCAGCATTACCAGGCCACAGAAGAAGACAATGCAGCCACTCCTGATGAGACCTAAGTGACTAGGATCAGAAGGAAGGAAAAGAAGACCTCCCGTATCAATGGACTTGGGGAGGGGCATGCATGCAGAGGGTGGAGGAAGGGAGGGATTGGGACGGGAGGAGGGAGGGAACCACAGGGAGGATACAAAGTGAATAAAGTGTAATTAATAAAGAATAATAAATTAACAAAGACTAAATGACGCTCCTTGCTGGTCAGATAAAGACCTACTGTGGGGGAAAAAAACTGCAACTACTACTACTAGTATTGTATACATCTTAGTTTTAAAATAACAAGAAAGGATTAACATTCATACTTCCCCATTCAAACATTTACACTTTAACACCATGGACTTCCACTTCTTTGTTTAGTTCTAGTCTTAAGACTGAGGGTAAGGGGCGGGTATGTAGATAAGAAGAAGCAAAAACCAAGGAAAGAAAAGTAGCAACTCATAGAACAATGCCTATAAAAAGAAGCAATGATAAAGCAGGAAAAGAGGAAGGAGAGAGAATAAGTAAATCAACAAGCAAGCATCAGCACTTTAGGCTTTTGCTCCGACTTGAGGTCTCCAGAGGACTAGGGGACAGCCCAGCAACTGACCTAGAAGAGGTAGTTGCTTCACATCCTACTCCTGTGTTCTCACCTTGGGGAGAGTTAGGAAAGAGATCAGCTGGGACAGCGGCAAAACTAGATTGCTTCACTCCTGCAACTAGCTCTAAGAGTCTTCTAAAGTCTTACATCAAGAAAGAAATGAGATATATATTATAAATGAAAACAAGAATGTCATGAAAAGCAATATAAAAACAGCAAAAAATGTATACCACCATCATCAGTATTTGACTAAATACTATGTAGCTCATAATTGATTGCCTCCATTCAGATTTTGATCTTCAAAACAACCTCCTAAGTGCATTTATCATTTGTATTACATGGTAAAAGAAATAGGTTCAGAAGTAAATTGGTTTCAAAATATTTACATAAGTAGTTACAACCATGGGATTTGAATTTAGACTTTCTGATCTAAATCCCATGCTTCTGTTTCTACACCAGTCTCTTCAATTAAAAAATAAATTTACTCTTACAACTATTATTTATCTTTCCTTTAAAAAAAAACTGGGGTGGTTCTTTTTGAGACAGTCTCACTAAGTAGTCCAGGTTGCCCATGAACACTTTTAACCTAAGCTTACATAAGCTTATAGTCCAACTGCCTCAGTGTCCCTATCCCTAGCACTTGGAGCACAAAGCATGGCTATGTCTATGTTCTGTTAAGTGACAGGAATAATTCACATGTAATCGTTAGAAAAAATAAAATTCTGTAAGACTTGGACTAGACTCTTCCTTAAGGGTAATGCAGTGCACATTTTCATCAGTGATGAAATGTGATTTACTATATTTTTCTTAGCAAAGAAGCAATCCCTCCATTCTGGCCAGTAAAACAAGCTACACTGAGCAAACATCCTACTACTTTTAACAAGAAATGTGTTCTGACCCTGCCCACAGAAGCACTGCAGGTGTGGCTGCTGTGTCACATGTGAGTCAGTAGGTAGCTGAAAGGAGAGAGGCAGAAAGTGGAAGGAAGAGTTGACCCCATGAGGTCATGAGAGCTTGCCCTGCCCCTCACCTGGGCAGCACAGGAGAGCTGACCTGAATGGCTGAGGTGGGATGAGCCAGCCCCAAGGATGTGAGTGTGGGAGCACTGGCCCCACAACTGGTCTGCCTTGTGCTGACATGGGCAACGGAGAGATGATTGCCCCACTCACCCCTTGCCAACAAGGGCAGCAGAAGAGGAGGCCCTGCCCCTCACCTGCTGCAGCACTAGGGAGAGCTTGCCCTGCCGCTCACCTGGGCAGCACAGTAGACACCGCCCTGGGCATGGGAGGTGTGGGGAAGCCAACCCCAAAAGCGTGAGTGTGGGAGAGCTGTCCCTGCCTCCTGTCCGCTGGGCAGTAGCTCGGACGGAGAGGGAGCGATGCCCACCTCCCCTCCCTCATCTGTAGAAGGAATCTCTTGTGTCTGTGTGGAAGCATCACCTGAAAAGCTAATGGCCTGTTAGCTAAGGCAGAAAATAAGGAGATGAGAATCCCAGAGAGAGATGAACAAAGACAGGAGATCACCCTGTGATTTTGAAGAAGATGGACATATAAAACTAAGCAAAGGTAACCAGCCATATGGCACAACTGAGAATGGAATAAATGGGAAGAGTTATGAGCAAATCAGAGAACAGGCCTAGCTATATCGGCCTAGGCTTTTGTAAATGCATTTAAGCCTCAGAGTCATTATTTGGGGAGCTGGGGTACAGGAGGAAAATATGCATTTACACTTATCCCTCACCATCTACGGCAGGCAGAACTGACCCCAGCACAATGAGAATGGGAGAACTGGCCACATCCTCATAGGCCGCAACACTCGGTAAAGTGACCCCTGCACCATGCCTGGGCAGCAGAGAAGAGCTGGCCCTGGTGACAGGAGTTGCAGCGAACCAGTGGGCTGACCAGCTCAGACACCTCTCCGACCCAGAGCCAGGGCTTTGAATTGGCCTACCCGACATCTACTCCATTGATAAACGGCTGGAGTGCGTGAAGGGTCCAGTCCTATAGCTCCAGAACTACAGGGTCTCCATGACGCAGGCAACAACAGGGTATCTGAGAGGCGTTCCGGTGAGATTCCGGTATCAACACAGTAGCAGAGCCAGCTACCAGACCAACTACTCGCTGCAGTGAACATTTGCAAGCAAAGAAGTGTGGACAAATGGCAGACTGTGACACTGCGGGACACACAATTAAGATGTTTTTTTTCTCTCTGTTGGGGGAGGGGCTGCAAGGGTGGAGCACAGGTCCAAGAGGAGAGGGAGATGAGTGGACTGATCGTGTGGTGTGAAATCCACAAAGCAGCAACGTTAAACAAAAAGAAATGTGTTCTGAATTTGAAGTAGCTAACTTATACAGTAATCTCCCATAGCATGCCTATTTGAAATTTAAGATTCTAAAGTTGAGATTCACAACCCCACTGAGAGCTGCACAGTTCTAACTTCTTAAATACGATTTTGGATTTAAATTTAGGAAAAATATGAAGGATGGAGGAAGGTCAGTAAAGATGAATGAGTTAAAGTCTCACTGCTTTAAAAAAAAAAACTAACTTGATTTCCCCAAATTTATAATTGTTACATACAAGAAAAAAATTACCATACTTACAATGTCCTACCAAAGATCGGTTTGATAGAAGCCAAGTACCAAGGGGTACTTTACCATAAGTACTCTCCCTACCTCCTCTCTCCACCATGGTTTCTTTAATCTCACTTCTAGTTGGTTTCTTAAGGTTTGCCCACAAAATTCTTAATGTTTCATATTCTAAGAATACTTCCCAATTTTTAAAAAATTTTAGGGCTGATACTTGTAAATGGTCTAGTTGAAGTGAAGATTCACCCACAAGGAGAACCTACCAGTCAGAAAGTACTTCCAACCTAATTGCTTATCACATACATGACTGCTCACAATAATCTCAATACTGAAGCTAAAATTTAACCATAATTATATAGGCTTTCAAGAATACTCATAAAGCTGGGCACAGTGGCACACACCTGTAATCCCTGCACTCTGGGAAGCAGAGGCAGGAGAATCGATGAGTTCGAGGCCAGCCTGGTCTACAAAGTGAGTCCAGGACAGCCAGGGCCACACACACACACACAGACAGACAGACAAATAATTAGCTGGACATTGATTTTGTGCAAATCTATTAACATCAACACCAAGTCAGCCATTAACCCTCTGACTGATAATAGTGACAATGGCCTAGACTGAAAGAAGGCCCACTCCACTGAATGGGACCCATACCCACCACTGCTTGGGTGACCAAGAACCTGAGACAAGAGAGTCCAGGGACCTAGGAGAAAACAAAATACTGCTGTTCTACTGCAAGAACACAGCAATAAAGTGACTCCATCTAATTACACTCTGCTCTACTCACATAAAGCGCCTTGCTCAGTCATCATCAGAGGAGCTTCCTCTACAGCAGATGGCCCACAGTCAGACATTACACTGACTGGAACACTCAGTCCTAAATGGGATATCGCCACCAAATCCCTCTCCTCGGGGCTCAGCAAACCCAGTGGAGAAAGCAAAAAAAGGATTTAAGGACCAGGGATGAGAGAGGACACCAAGAAACCAAGGCCCTCTAACACAACATAATTAAAGCTCATATGAATTACCAGACACTGAAGAAGCAGACACAGGGCCTGCGAAGGTCTACACCAGATCATTTCTGTATATACTATGGCTTCCAGTTTAAATTTTCCTGAGTGTGAGAAATAGTGGGTCTCTGTTTCTTGTGCCCTCTCTTGTCTTTCTTCTGTTTGTTTTATTCAATTCCAATGTGTTGGCTTTTGTTTTTGTCTGTTTTATTTTACTATTATGCCTTAGAAGCTTGTCTTTTAATAAGAGACAGAAAGAGTGTGGATCTGGATGGGCGATGTGGAGGAAATGGGAATAGAGAGAAGGGAAAACAGTAAATCAGGATATATTATGTGAGGGGGAAAAAAAGCTATTTTCAATAAAAGAAAAAAGAATAACAAGAGATGTTGGCTATAATAAATTATAAATAATTGTAATACTAGGAATTCAAGTTGTCTTTTTCACTTTCATGTGAAAGTTGGCACTTATGTTTAACAGTACACTCATGTGTAAGAAAACAGAAGTCCAAGGTTGATGTCAGGAATCATCATCAATCGCTCCTCCGTTTTATTCATTGAGGCAGGGTCTTTAAATCAAATCCTGAGGTCACTGATGTGGCAAGTCTCCCTAACCAGCTTGCTTTGGAGATTCCCCCATCTCTACCTTCTGAGGCAGGGTACCTAGCCTACCTGGTATTTATTAATTTAAGTGGGATTTGAGGGTCTGAACTCTGATGGTCATACTTGCATATTTTAAATGCCTTATAAAATAACTGATAGTTCATATGGCATCCTTTTCAGGAACAAAATTATATAATTTATAATTTTAAAATTAAAACTAAATAATAACCAAAATGAAAGTGGTGTCTTTTTTTTTTTTTTTTACTAGCACTCATCAGAACTAACAGTATTATAGTAGTTACTAAATTTAATCTGTAGTTACAGGCCTACTCTGTCTCTAGCATATAAATACTTCAGGAAAAACCCAAAGGAATCTGGATACTTTATTTTCCTTCTTTGGATCACTGACATAACTGTTCTATTGGTGCAACTTACACCAATCAAAGTGACCCAAATTAGAACACTGATACTAGACTCCTAGTGTCCTGGCCAAAGAGAAGAAGGCGAATCCTAAAGCCTCTCATTCAAGTTATTGGAGAATATCCTGTTTCTAAGAACCTTCCAATCAATCATTTTGTTATCCATTTATGATCCAGTCTTTAAACCATCACCTTGGAAAATTACAAATAGTCCTTTTCTAACTTTTCCTACCGTCCACGTTAATTGTCTTTTATTCCCTTTTGCGGACAGGAAAGTCAAGTCAGATGAAGACTGACCATATAGGCTACTAAATCTAGTGAGCATGTCTCCCTTTCACCCTAAACCAAGTGAGTGCTGAAATGGAAGACAGGTTGCTAATAAGCAGTAGGCCTCAGGGGTTACCAACGAAAGGGAATCAAGAAGTAGGAGCTCAAGGAGACAGGTTTGATGAACAGAACATTAATTTGGTACTTAAAACTTTTGGGAGAGGACTGAACTTATGGAGAGATTAGGAATACTAGAATCGGTGAATAGTTGGGCAGCGGGTTAATCGCAAAAAGAACACACATCTATACTCTATGTCAAGAAGGTAGGAGTTGTGTGTAATTGACAAATAGCTACATTTTTTTAAACAAAGAGTAAAAGCCACTTCTCCAGCCTGAGAACTCTTTTTAAAGTTACTTTTGACCACAGGATTCATGGTGAAAGAGTAGGGAGATGAAGTGAGTAAAGTGTAGACAACGGAGAATACGAAGTGCTGACCCTACGTCACATGATGCTATCAAGTAAACTCTGGTACGTTCAGATGACATTATAATCCTGCAGAATTGAGAGATTCATGTTTGAAAATGAGGGAAACATCTACACAGGCTAAAAAAAAAAAGAGGGGGGGAAGTTTGGTGCTCACTCCACTATTCCTTCAACTGACCTATGGCTTAACTCTATTCCCCAGGTATCTAATACCACTTTCTGATCTCTAAGGGTTCCAGACAAACGCATAATACAAACAGACAGACAGACAGACAAAACCCCATACACACAAATTTGTAAAAATAAAAAAGTAAAGTTTACCAGGAACTGAAGGATAATAATTAGTCAGACCAATGGGGGTAAGAGTCACAGGGAAAAGTTCTAGAAATGGTGAACACTATGGGCAAAGAATTGAAGGAAAAGAAAAATTACCTAAAAGGAGAATTGTGAAGAGCTTTTGAGGCTATAAAGGTAAGTTAGGAAAGAAACTCACATATCTTAAAGGAATGAGAAATGTGAATTTCATCTTGACTATAAAAGAAAGCTAGAAATACTTTAAATAAAATGATCAGATTTACCCTTTAGAAAGATTAATGACTACTGCACAGGGGATATCAGAGAAAAAGAGCAGACAAAAGGCAGACAGAAATCTTGCAACCTCAGGTGCTACTGAAGTCAGTCCCTAGAGCAAGGAATACATCGTTTATGCTGATATATTAAATGGTTCTTTTGAGGGAGGGACAGAAGAAGGGAGAGAGAGTGAGAATGAGAGACTGACTTAATATTTCTCTTCTCCTAGGAGCTGTCAGTCATTATTCACTATGTTGCTACCTCTATACTGCTTTTGGTTAAGTTCTGTATATCCCTTTCTAATTTGTGCTTTTTGAAACAACTCTCACAGTGTATGTTAGAGCTGACAAAGCATCACCAGGCTAATACTTTCCCTACTGAACTATTCCGCTCTTCAGACCACAGCATTTTCCTTCACATGACAATAACTTCTAACACAGCAACTACCAATCACACTCACTATTTTCTAGATGAAAAAGAAAAAATTGAAGCCAAAAACACTTAATAACCTCTCTAAAGTCCCATGGATAGTAAATAACAAAGATGATCCTATCATCTTTCATCATCAATTTTGCTTGTTAAAAACATCACCTAAAAGTCAGGCACAGCGAGCGGCACAGACTTCCTAGTACTCAGGAAGCAGAGAAGGGTCACATCAGAGTCCAAAGTCAGCCTGTCTACACAGTAAGTTCCAGTCAGCCAGACCTATACAGGGAATCCTGTCTCTAAAGATTAATTTAAATTTTCAGACTTAAAAATTAAAAACACTAAGAGTCAAAAGTGAGACCTACAGTAATACAGTAATGACATTTGTGCACGAAATATGAAAATTTCTTGACATTTACTACATACATACTTAAACAAACTATTTAAACATTTAACTTCTTTCTTGACAGTTACCAGGAGGTAGGGATTTGGGGGTATGAAGGTAGGATCAGTCTCACTAAAGAAGATAGTATATCTTTATTTCTAATTTCAAAACCTATCCAATAACAATCAACAATTCAAAATACAGTAGTTGAAATTTAGAGTAACGTAAGGCTGGCATTTCTAAGGGAAAGAGTATAGTTTTAAGGGATTTCATTTTATGTGTGTAAGTGTTTTGCCAGCATACATGTCTGTGTGTCTTGTCCAAGAAGGCCAGAAGAGATGAGACCCCTGGAACTGGAATTACAGACAGCTTCAGCTCTTAGGAATTGAACTCGGATCCTCTAGAAGAGCAGCTCTTAACTACTATTCCATTTCTCTAGCCCCCAAAAGGTTATTTTTCTTCAGATTTAAAGACCAAAATATATCTACATTACATCAAATTCTTGCTTTTTGCTTTGCCCTCTACTGCTTCCCCTGATAAAGAGAATTGCTAGATGAATGAAATATTTCTCTAATCCACTAAACAATATCCAATGGGACTCCAAAACAATAGATCAAGACCTTTCCAGAATCATATAGATCACAGGTTTAAACAGTGCTATTAATATTTTGATTCAATCTTTTAGTGGTGGTGCAGACTGTCCTATGCATTACATAAAAGTTATTAACATCCTTCATTAGATGTTATTGTAACGATCAAAATCCTTCTTGGAGTGGCCCTGTTTTAGATGTTGGGACTCTGGAACTCTAGAAAAGAAAGTCGCCCTGGGCAGCACTTTTAATCCCAGCACTTGGGAGGCAGAAGCAGGCAGAGCTCTGTCAGTTCAAAGACAGCCTGGTCTACAAAGTGACTTCCAGGACAGCCAAGGCTATGCAGAGAAAGCCTGTCTCAAAAAAACAAATAAATAAATTTGTTCCTCCCCAAACAAAAGGAAGCCTCCAAATGCCTTTGTTAATTACAATTTTTTGACACTGTTTGTAGATTTTGGTTAAGATGTTAGCAATGTAAGTTCTGATCTAACTTTTCACTGACCTCAGCTCACCACATTAACTCTTAAGTCTCCGAAGCCAGTCATGCTTTTTTTCTTCCTTCTCCAGACTTCACACTGACAAAACCCAACATTCTGTCAGTTATTTACAATATCCCTTTATCTGGGGTCAGCTGCTTACTCCCTGGACAAAATTAAAAAAAAAAAAAAACTGTAAACTGACTTTAAAATAGCTTCAAAATAAACATCTGTCCTGCTGTAAATCATTTTCAAAGTTTTGAAAACATAGATTTCGTCTGCATAGAACCTCGGTCAGTACTTGTCCCTAACATTGGAGGAACACCCAGTTCTTGCTAGGTTCTAATAGCATGCAGTCAAATGCATACATACAAAAATACAAGTAATTCCAGTATCCAGCTCATCCCTACACAGCATTTTCATCACTTTACAGAAGCACATCATAGTTCTTGGGCCCAGGATCCTGGAGATTTAAGTTTCTACCCTTCAGATTTCTTCTTCTGCTTTCTGCTATGTTGAGGCAAGCAGGAAGTATGCCAACAAAGACCTCTAAGGTCTTTTCCAACTTGATATTCCTGTATTCAGTGGCAAAAATAGTTCTCCAACTTTTCACTGACTGACCCTCAGCTCATCAATACTTAAAGTCACGGAAGTGATTCATGCTTTTTTTTCTTCTTTCTCCACAACCAGTCAGTCTATCAGTTGTTTACAATATTCGTTGTTTTTGTTTTTAATTCTGGGTATCAGTAGCATACTTCCTAACCCAAATTTTTCAATTATGTAAATTGATTTTAAAATAATTTTTTAAAAAGCTAAGATTCCACATCATTTATATGAAAGGCCCACATTACACAAATGTTGAGGTAAAAAGTAGATTTAGTGGCTGCCTGGAGGCTGGTGGGGGTGAGGTGAGAAAATGAGGGGTGACTGCTAATGGGTACAAACGGGCTGAGGAGAAGGTGTTCAAAAATAATATACTGGTGATGCTCCCATAGTAAATATACTCAGCACTGTATGGAATGTAGCCTGTGCTGGGACCCCTTCCCTGTGTTCACAAGGCCTTGGGTTACTACTTTAGCACAGCTTAGAAAGTACAGAAAACCAAAATACTATTGGGTTAAAGTGGGTGAACTTTACAGTATGTTAACTCCATAAAGGTGTCTTTTAAAAAGAGTAGAAAAAAAAATTATAGCCAACTTTATTGACAAGAAAAGAAGTGTGATTAAGAATAGGTTCTGTAGGCTGGAGAGATGGCTCAGAGGTTAAGAACACTGGCTGTTCTTAACCTGAGTTCAATTCCCAGCAACCACATGGTGGCTCATAACCATCTACAGTGAAACACGGTGCCCTTTTCCAATGCGCAGGCACACGTGCAGGCAGAATGTTGTATAAATAATAAATAAATAAATCTTTAAAAAAAAAAAAGAACAGGTTCTGTAAATTGTTCTTTTATGGGTTATATAGGATCTGATTATAATAAAAACTCTATTCAGAAACAAAATTAAATTTAACTTTTCCAAAACATAAACACATGTAAATTTAATCCCTTTTCCTAGTAAACTGTAGGTAACTTTGCCAGTTATAATTTTGAAAACAATGAGAAACATTTCAGAAAGCCAAATGCTGCAGTAACAATACCACAAGAACAAATTATATGAGTATCAACAACAAAACACGGATAGTGTTTACAGTTTTACTGTGAACAGACTGGAAGTGTAACACGTCTAAGGTTGCCAGAACGCAGTTTAAAAACTAACCAAATCACAGGAAAAATATAACCCACAACTATCAAATACAGTGATCAATTTTACCTAATGATGATCGGTGTAGAGCATCATTACCCAATTCCAGGAAACCCAACCCACTATACTACCGCCAAACAAATCCCATTATACCTAATCTGTTCCATCCTAACTGCCAGGAAATCCGAGTACTTTTGATAAAACCATTTACAAAACTGAATGTCCATCAAAATCCTCAGCACAAGGTATCTCCATACCCCACAAATAATGTATCATGATACCCGGCGAACGTGTAAACAGACTGGCCTGATTTTGAAGAAACCAGAAACAGAACCAATTAGAAAACAGAAACACTCCAATTTAATTCTTCGAAAGTAAAAGAAGTCTCTTATATAAAAGAACAAAAACTAAAGTTGGTAAAATGGAAATGGGAATTTTAAAGAACACTTTACAGCTCTAATAGGCCAACACTAAAAAACAAAAAGCCCAACATGAGCAGGCCAAGTGGCTAATTATAATGGTCGGGCAAAAGTTCCCCAACAACCCAAGGAGAACAGGGAGGGCCATCCTTCGAATCCCTGCAGACGGTAGGAAGCAAGACTGAAAGGTCTTGAAGAAAAGAAAGAAAAAGAGAGCCTAAACAGTTTAAACTACAGGGCCAAACTGCGAAACGGCGGGTTCTTGCGTGGCTAGAGTCCTCCCGAGGCTTTCGGCTTCCACTCCTCAAGGCTCGGAAGGGGGCTAAGGGCCTGGCCGAAACGACGGAGGGAAAGTTTGGGCTCCGAGTCTGCGGGGAGCGATGGAAGTTCCCGATCCCGGGTCCGGGAGGGGGCGAGGGGCCAGGGCGGCTCCCGCGGGCGCCGGCAGGGGCTGGGCACAGCGGCCGGCCCCGGTGCCCGGGAGTGCCGAGGAGGAAGTGGTGGCAGCCGGGGGCGCGGAAGCCTCGGCGCGGCCACCGGCTCCGAAACCCGGCCGGTTCCGGGCCGCGAGGGCACGGAGGGGGTGGGGTCGCGGCCCCGGGGGCCGCGGGTCGGGGAGGGCGGCCGCGAGGCGCGGGGCCCGCACCTACCTGCGGTCCCGGGCGGCCGCCCCAGACGAGGCCTAGTGCACCGCCGCCTCCATCCCTCCGCGTCGCGCCGAGACTGCAGCTCCGCGGCCGCCGCCGCCGCCCTGCGCGCCGGGCCCGGGCCCGGTTCCCGCCTCCGCCCCGCGCCTGCTGGCCAGCGGGCCCGGGAGCACAGGGCCGCCCTCTCGAGCCCCGCGCGGCCGCGGCGGGGGCCCCTCACGTCTCGCCCGGGTGTCCCGTCAGCCAGCGGTCTCCCTCCGGTCCGCAGCGCCGCCTCCGCCGCTGCTGCCGCCGCCGCCTCTCCCACATCCCCGGCCTCCAGGGGGGCCGCGACCACCGCCCCCGGCGCCTCGGCTCCCCGCGCCGCCGCCGCCGCCGCCGCGCCTCACGCCACCGGCCCGGCGCGGCTAGGTCGGCGGAGAGCGCGCAGCAGGCCGCCGCCAGGCCGCCGCAGCCCCCTGCCCACAATCCACCGCGGCTCCGCCGGGGCGGGAGGCGAGGCGCGGCCCGGGGAGTCTTCGCGCCGCTTCCGCGGGGCCCCGGGCGCGGAGGTACCCCGCGCCGCCCGCGTCGCCCTCCGAGCCGCGCCTCGCCTCCCGCCGCCCTGGCCGTCCGCCGAGGCCGAGCGTTGCCGGCCGCCTTCGCGGGCGGGCGGGAGCGGACCCCTCGCTCCCCCGGACCAACCGACTCCCGGCCGCCCGCACCGACGGAGGCGCCGGCTTCCGCCGCGCCGCGATCCCTCAGCCCCTCGGAGTAAACAAACATGGTTCCGTTTCCAAACTTGGTGCCTTTCAGAGGTTAAAGGTCGACCAGGCTAAGCCCCTGGCCCCCAGGACTTGAGGCCTCTCGAGGCTTCCCCAGTTCCAGGCCTCCCAGTCACACTTAAGTCGCTTGTCCCTGCCCCCTAAAACACTGAAAGACTTGGTGTGTGTGTGCGTGCTATTAAATCTTCTGGTGGGTCCGAACAGCTTTTCAATTCCGGCTGAGTTCAGAGAGAATTGCAGTCTTAAGCCAGTAAAAAATACAATCTGCAGGATAGGGACTGCCTTACATTACCGTGTACTTTTTTAAGTTTCCAGTCACCTTTCTTTGAGTCAGGAAAAAAGGAAGACAAAAGCCTTACTCACTTGAGGGTTTGTCTTGATTTTATGAAGATTTTATTCCACTTGAAACTTTTTTTTTTTAACCTACATATAAATTTCACACATTTCAAAAGTTATTTCACAAAGCAAAAGTGAAAATGTAACTCAGTCGGTGACTGGAAAAGAAACTTGATCAGAGATCTTACTAAGTGATTATGAAAACTGCTAAGAGCTCTCTCAGAAGGTTACTCACCAAAAAGGTATGGTTGGAGGGCAGAAAGGACACTGGGGAAGGGAAACACACACACAAAAAATTAGTGGCAAGAAAATTCCTGTTCCATTTTTCTGATTTCAGCTCTCTACAATGGACGCAGGCACAATGGGGCAACCCTGTAATCCCAGCATTTTGGAGTAGAGAGACGATCAGGAGTTCAAGGCCAGCCTCATCCCTCATTGGCAGCTCAAGGCCTGTCTGGGCAATGTGAGACTCAAGTCTCAAAAAGAGAAAAAAAAAAAAAAAAAAAAGGAAAAGGAAGGAAGGAAAGGAGGGGAAAGGAAAGGGAGAAAAAAAGAAAAGAGAGAGAGAAAGAAAGTAAAAGAAAAGAAAAAAGGAAGAAAGAGACATAAAGGAAGAAAGAGAAAAAGAAAGGAAAAAGAAAGAAAAAGAAAGAAAGAAAGAAAGAAAGAAAGAAAAGAAAGAAAAGAAAGAAAAGAAAAGAAAAGAAAGAACACCTCAACCTGGCTGGCATTAAGGCATGAACCACCACCACCTGGCCTAAATTCTCAATCTCTCATAAAATACAAGCGAATGGAACATAACCGAGGTTGGAGGTGAAGAAATCTGAACAGGAAGGTGGTTAGAGATACCACTTTTAGGTTAAAAGAATGAAATTTAGCAGTTTGTTGCACAACACAGTGGTCATAGTTAACAATGTATATTTCAATTTTCCTAAAAAAGTAGATCTTAAATATTTTCAACTTTAAAAAATTAGTTAAAGTAATACATAGTTAGAGTGACTTAATTACACCCTCTTCAAAAACAACAAAATTCTAAGTTGTTCTAGTTTGCACTTGAATTGGCTGATGAGAATGAGCCTTGGGTGTTTCCCCAACACTGGAACAAGACAAACTGGTTTGCCCCTACTGTTGCAAGCCTGCCACAAGAAGATTCACCTTAAGTATTGTGCTTGGTTCTTTTCCAATAACATGTTTATTAGGTTTTTGTTTTTTTTTTTTTTTACCTTGCCACAGAACAATTTGTAAGGTGAACTCTATATTGATAGCAAAGCAAATATTTGATGATCAGCTTTTCAAAACAAAAACAAATTGGGCAAATAATTTTGTTTAACAGGAAAGTTCAAAATAATAGGTTTGATCGCCATCACTTGAATCATTTTAACATTAAAAAGAAATGCTAAACTACAAATGTGCATGGGTACTCTACTGGCCCCCATTTTCCAAAATCAAAAGCGAAGAAAGTTAAGAGAAGCTAGTAGAAAATGCTGCCTTGCTTAGCTACAATATAACTGAAAGCCTACTTGGCATTTTTGCTACAGTTACTAATAATTATAAGTAAGAGAAACCTTGTTTGAAACAGGGTATCATTTGAGAACTTGCTGTGTAGACCAGACTGGCTTGGAACTCACAGATGCCCTCTTGCCTCTGCTTCCCAAGTGTTGAGGTGAAAGGCATGGGCCCCTGCTCCCAACTAGATGGATGGATGGATGGAAGGAAGGAAGGAAGGAAAGAAGGAAGGAAGGGCTGGGAGTATTGCAGGATATTTCATCACAATGTGAATCCTCAGATGTAAACTGAAAAAAAAAAAAAAAAAAAAAAAAAACCTTGTTTCTGGTTGTGGTGTGGCTCAGCCCTAGCATACACCTTAGTCCAAGAGCTAAATAAAGTCAATCAGATCAAGCAGCAGGGCAAGCAAGCAGTCAAAAGGGAATGAACATAAATAAACAGGAGGGTGGAGAAGAAGAAAGGGCTTTCTCTTTCTGGGATGTCAGGTGAGGAGGAAGGTCAGCTGGGTGCTTTCTTTTGCCTCTCTGAGCTAGTAAGCTTCTACCACAGTACCTGGCTCCTGAGTACTGGTGAAAATCAAACTTTTGGGATTTGTTTTAAAACAACAAGGGAGTTTGGAGAAATGGCTAACAGTGTTTGCTAATGTTGCAAAGGGAGTTCAGTTCCAAATACCAGGTGGGATGGCTCAAACCGCCTGAAAATCCCACATCAGGAAATCTGGTGGTCTATTCTGGCCTCCTCAGGTATCTGCACACTCAGTGAATCGTGCCTGTAATCCCAGCACTTGGTGCCTGAGATAGGAAAGTCTCTGAAAGCTCAAGGCTTTCAGAGCTGCACAGTGAGACCCCGTCAGGAAAAAAAAAAAAAAAAAAAAAAAGGAAGGAGGTTGGGCATCAGATATACAACTCCTTGGTATTTACCCAAAGGACTCTTAAGTCAACATAGCATAGAGATATTTGCACATCTACACTGAACAACTCACAATAGGTAGAAAATGCAGCATGCCTAGATTAAATAGATTAGATAGATAGATAGATAGATAGATAGATAGATAGATAGATAGATATGGTACAAATACATAATGGTACATATATAGAGAATATGGTACATATACATACTTAAAATTTATTCAGCTATAAAGAAAAAATGATATGACAGTTGCAGGAAAATCATGTTAAACAAAATAAGCCAAACTCATACTATGTGTTTTCTCTCACATGTGAAACCTAAATTTACATATAGGTATATGCATGAGTGTGTGTGTGTGTGTGTGTGTGTGTGTGTGTGTATGCTGGTGATTATGAGAGAGAAAAGAAAAAATGCATGTGTACGAAAGCAGAAAGAGGACTGTTAGGTGGGAGGAAGGGAACAGAAGGGGGATCCGTGGACACGGGGGACGGTAGTGGGAGTGGAGAGCAAATGAGGACTAGGTACGCTGACAAACATGGATGAAAACTGCCATCACGAAACCCATTACATTGTAAGTTAGTTAATGTGAAAAGTTAACTTTTAAAAGCATGTTCTAGAGGGAGAAAAAGACAAAGCTGGGTATGACAGCAAATACCTGGGGTCCAAGTACTCAGCAAGAGTGAGGTGGGAACATCTGGAGTTTGAGGCTAACCTGGGCCAGAGAGCAAGTTCCAGGCCAGCCTGAGCTACATAGCTGCCCCATCTCATAAAGCCAGAGACCGTTTCTCATAAAGCTGGGTATGGGAATGTTTACCTCTTGAGAGCAAGGCTCTGTGTTGATCCCCAGCACTGAAAAAAATATGGTGGCCATGTGAGATAGCCAAGCCAGCAGGTTAGGAACTAAGCTTTGTAAGACTTTTCTTCAGTGCTGGAAATTGAGTCTGTAATGTTTGACTCGATAACTGTAGTCAGTAGTCACAAGGTTTCAAAATATGGGTCTGTTTCTCTCTTTTATATCAGCTGCTTGATTTCTGTGGAACAATTACTCAGCTCTGTTAAATTCCCCTGGCATCTGTGAAGAGTATATCTTGTGTCTGTATGGAAACTTCACTTGTCAATAATAAATCTGATGTCCCATAGCCAAGGCAAGAACTAGGAGGCAGGACATCTGGCAGACAGAAAGGATTCTGGGATAGAGCCAGGTGCAGAAGATTCACCTGGAAAGATGTGAATAGAACAGATAGTATCTGAGCACAGGTAACCAGCTGCATAGTGAAATGTAGATTGGCATAGTGGGTTATTTTAAGTTATGAGTCAATTAAAGAAGGCTTAGCTATATGGCCTAGTTATTTGTAAATAATATTTTGATTCTCATGAATCTTTATTCTGGGAGATTGAGGCTGGGAGGAAAAACCACAATAGTTGTCTTTCTCTTTGGCTCTGGTAGTCCACATTTCTGCTTCAATTGTGCTCCAAGCATAGAGTAAATCAATCAAGAGAGTGTGGTAAATTAGCTTTCTGAGTTGTGTAGCAATGACTACTAACGTAACACTTTAAAGCACACATTTATCATGTCAGGGTCTCTGTAACTCTCCCTCCTCCGCACCGTTTTGTCTCTCCTTATGTAATACAGACTGGCCTCTGACAGTATCACCGTCCATAAGCACCAGTGTGTTCATCTGAAATCTTGACTCTTTAGCTAACTGGGTTTTGACAAAACTTATCTTCTTGCAATTATAGAGCTGAGAGCCCTGGATTCCTGTTGCCTGGAGACTGGCCTCAGCTTCTAGAGGACTTGAAGGTCCTGACAAAAGGGGAGATCCCTAATGTAGCTGATTCATTTAGCAAGTCAGTTTAGAGTGTCTCTGCCATCTCCAAGTAAATACCTACTAGCTAGAGAGTGGTGTCCTTTCAGGTTTGCCACAGCTGTGCTTCAGAAGTCC